TTATTCTACTAACCCTAACAGAACAGTCTACTAAAACTCTAATGAGAGTAGTAGTTGACATAGTTGTAAATGAATGAGAGTTAGTTGACATGTAATTGCAAAGTAACTATTGATAGTAGAATGTCTAAAGTGACTGTATCAAAATAAAGTTGAACCAAATAATTGATTTGAATCATTAGAAATATCATGAAACTTATATACAGTGTATTATATATCTTCTCCGCTAACCAACTGCAGTAACTTCACATACTAATTTTATGCTAACCTTTATTGACCCTTCAGTCCTCAATAGAAGCTAAATGATAAAATAAATAAAAAATAAACACATTACTCTCTTTCTGACACGTTGATACAACAAAGGTCCCCTGAGATTAGAAGTGACCTAATTAAGACTGATAATGAGCTAAACATGACTATATCCACTTGACATGACTAGTCCACTCTTCAAAAACTTACCAATCACATCACTGCTCACTGCACAGAACTCGTGTTAGAAACTCTCCTCGTGTTACCTTGCAGTGACTTTGCTCAGTTTATGTTTGTTTGCAGTTATACCTGCCAATAGGGCATCTTGATAGCCTGTCCATGTGCAGGTTATTCGGCACCATTGATAAATCAATCTAGCACTGAACAGCTAAGCCACTAGTCACCTTATTTTCACATAAGAGCGGGCGCCACATTTTAGACTTGAATGTCCAAGGCTTCCGGTGTCAGCCATTCCAGTTATTTTAGCCATACAAATACGGTATGTTATGCTGCTTGATCTTACAAACTGGTATTATTCTGATTTATTATCATAATCATAAACACACTGGTTTATAGCACAAATAGTTTTACCAGTTACTGCACTTTGTAGTTATTTACATAGTGGCTAATGAATCAGTCTCGATGGGCCTCATCACTTATTTAATCGCAAATTAGGCTTTCATTGCATACTATAACTTCTAGATGATAAAGACTTTCATTTTGATTTAATGGGTTTTTTAAATTAATATGCATGTGGTGTTTGCGCGTGTGTGTTGTTGATGGATGTATGGTAGTCTTCGCCTCAAGATCCCTTTCTAAATGTCAGGCATCTTTACTGTCTCTATCTATCATCTCTCTCTAAGTCAATCTCTCCTGCTCTCTCTTTATAATTCACATGAGTCATGTAAGGAACGTAACGTCTGGTTCTGCTGCTCAGGTACAGCTGGGCTGAGACTTTGCCACTCTTGGTAAATATTTGATGCTGTTTGCTATTATACACCAGCCTGAACACACTTTCATCACTCTGTTGTTCTTTTACAGAGAATAAATATTTCTGGTGTTTGCATTCTGAAGGTTCTAATGTGCGTGGTCAACGCATTCTCATCCCAAGGCGTCACTAAAATGACAATTTTGACCATGCTTCAATATTCGACGCTTTAGGCACCCTTTAGCGTCAGTTATATGACGCGATCCTAGGGCGTCATCTTACTGACGCTTTACCTAAGCGTCAGTTAGATGACGTGGGTAGGTTTAGGTCTGGGGTAGGGTTAGGATTAGATAGCGTCATCTAACTGACGTTAAAGGTAAAGCGTCAGTAAGATGACGCCCTAGGATCGCGTCATGTAACTGACGCTAAAGGGTGCCTAAAGCGTCGAATATTGAAGCATGGTCAAAATGATTCCCAAGGCGTCAGTTTCATGACGCCTAGGGATGAGAATGGGCTGGCGTGGTAGAAAGGGATTGTGCTTTATACTTCAGATTCAGGAAACCATCTCAAGAGGACACTGGCAGTCAGAGGGGAAATCATGAGAAGTCTAGATTATACTTAAAGCACTGTACCTGTGAAGCTGAAGTGACAGTGTGTTAAACGCTTGTGTGTGTATGCATGACTTGTGCGGTTTTGTCTGGGAGTTGAAGCACACAGCAGATTAGCTGTGAGCACTTAGGTCTGCTTTCTTCCTCTGATGTGATTCTTTCTGATTCCCTTTCTTTTTCTTTCTTCCTTCATCTCTCTCTCTCTCTCTCTCTCTCTCTCTCTCTCTCTCTCTCTCTCTCTCTCTCTCTCTCTTCTCTCTCTGGCGAATCTCCTCTTCTCGGATCACTTAGAAAGAAATGCGGAAAAGACTGCATAGTATGTCTGTGTGTTTGTACTCTTACGTTTGAGTATAAATATACTTATCGATTTCAATATATTGATTTCTCATTTTACTGTGGTTCTCATTAATTTCATTACAGTTAAGCCGAACATTATACTCTTCATCGTATTGACATGAGTGAACCTCTTCCCCACAATGTTTAGTTATTTGTATATCATTAATGAACAATGTTATATTATTATTGTTGTTGTTGTTAACATTTAATATTTGTTAAATACTCAACTCTCTCTCATAACTATATTATTATTAAAATTAATTGTCACTTATCACCACTTGTGTTTTGCACCGGTTCATAATATATTGTATATTATAATTAAAGAGAGTTTTTGTCAGAAAGCATCAGGAAATCCCAAAGCAAAATGACATTGATGAAGTCTCCATTGCTCCTTCTGCTTACTGTTGCTTTACTGCTTTTCAATTAAAGACCAAAATAGATTTTGCTTCACTGTCAAAGGTCAGCAGGATCAATTAACTATCTGACCGATAGGTTCATGTTTTGCTGTGCATCTTTTATTCTCACTTGTTTAGCAGGCAAATGCACATACCACTCTCTCCATTTCATTTACAGCAGCACAATCTTTGTCTTTGCCTCACTCTTTCACTCTCTCAGTAGGAGTTAATTTTTAATGCTGAGTCATTTGGTGTGTACAGGAGGATGTGATTGCAGTATCACTGTTGTAGTGTAAATAATATATGTTTCTGGTATTATTGAAACTCTAAGTGTTACGAGTCAGCACAACTTGGTGCTCACAGCAGCATGCAGTTCTTGGTAAGGATGTTAGACACCAAAAAATAAACTGATGTCAGTCTTGATGCAAAGTAGATTTTATACTAAGAAAACACAGCTTGAAATGAATTTAACAACTATTTCTATAAAATGATTTCACTGACTACACATTGCAGAGTTTATTTTTTGGGATCCATTTGGATTTGTTTTACAGTTACAAACCAGATATAAAGAAGAGTTCTGTTAGAATGTGTGTTTGATTCAGGTTTTGTCTATATTGTGGGGACCAAAGGAGGAAAACAGCTTAATAAACACAATAAATAATGTTGAAATGAAAGTAACAAAGTTTACACCTGGTATTAAGATGCGTTTTGGTCGATCGGATCACAAGACGAGGGAGACACATACCCGTTTACACCTGGTATCAACACGTTCTTACTCCCAACTCGTCACATATGAACACTACTGTAAATACTAGTTTCCTAGTTAAAAAATTGGACATTGACGCCCTCTCAAGTCAAAATTTGAATGCAACAAGCTCGTAATCACGACTTTAGAAGTGAAGTCGGAAATTTCCAAATAGCATGTGAAGGCAGCATAAGAACGTGTTGTTGCTGGTATTTTAATCCGTCTTTTTTGTCCACTTTCCACCACTTCTGTCCTGTTTTCTTCTTCAAGGGGAGGTTCTATGGGCGGGTAAATTAATGTTGTTTTTTTTTCAGATCTTTTGATGTAATGGACAAAAATAATCTCGAGCTATTTACATATGAATGCGCCGGAGACGCAGGAAAAACATACGGAATCATTAGTTTCTGCTCTGACAGCTGCAAGACCAATGTCAACTGCTTTGAGTGCATGTTCGAAAACAGGAATGGTGAGAGAACATTGTGCTTGGTACGTTTTTCATCTTCAAACTTGGGTCTTAGTTTAAATCCCGTCTGTCTAGCGTGCTTCCCATAATAATTACACGTTAGGTCAGTAGGCGGAAAGCAGGCATTCTTTTGTGGCTGTTTACACTGTCAGTCCAAATCCGATTATTTGTTTATCCGATTGGCATCTGATCTAAAATTATTGACGTGCACATTGTGTTTCGCAACTGTTCAGATCCGATTTGTGTGTCCATGCAGCTTTTTCGTTTTCCAAAATATCTGCATTGGTTTCTATGGCAATGACGTTGTTGGTATTGGCATAAGGCAAAAATAACAACAACAACAACCTCAACATGGAGGGGTTTGCAATACAGATGTTGTCTTATTTACAACATGACAATGTGTAGCCGCATGTCTTCTGAGGCAGCGGCAGAACCGTAGGAGGCTGGTATGAGTGGCTTTATAATCTTTATTATCTACAGTATGTCTATTATCTATCTATATTAGCCTTCAGATTTTAATTTCATTTCATTAGAATTCAGAGAATGGCTATGATCACCTAAAAGGAAAAACTATAAATATGATAGAAGGCCTATTTCCAAACATTAATTTAACAGTATCAATGATTTAAAATTGAAATAACTTTGAGGACAGCACTGATCCTGAATAAAGCATAGTTGGAATGCAGGATCATTTGTATTCCATGTTTGAATAGAGATGCCAGCAGCACATACAATAGGAGCTATACTTAGCTTGTTTAACAGCTCTGACTCATTCCACATTAGTTAGCAACCATTACACTGTCTTACATACACTCATTTTTATTTCATTTCTAATGTCTTAATTTAGCAGCTACTCTCTTTACGGCTAATGTGTTTCTGCGCTTTCTCACAACAAAGATGGGCGACAGAAGAGGGTCCTTCAAGTATTGTGCGTAGTTGATAAAAACTTTTCAGAAATTCTGTTAAAACTGTGAAACGTTTGGATGGAAACCCAACTAGTATCACCCTATTTAGTGTGTGATGATTTTCCAATTGGGTCAAGGTAAAACACACACACACACACACACACACACACACTCTTCCTCTCTGTGGTTCAGAGAACATCTGCAGGTGAGCAGTGCTGTGTATTGGTTTGAGAGAGTCTGTGATTTATGCTTTCACTGCCTTCATCCCTGCAGTGATTGCAGTCTGGATAAAAACCCTCCAGCAACATGCCCACTTGCATGGGAATTCAAGTATATCCACACACAAACAAGTAAAGAAGAACTCTTTATGCTACTATAATTCATTTTATTTTTTAATAGTTTATTCATTTATTTTTATGACATATATTTATTTATAATTTATATATATCTATATATTATTGCTGCATTGGAGCCGTTCTCAGTATAGACTCTCTCGGTCATTCCCATAGAGTTATAGATCTCCTCCCGCATGCTTCAGAATTCACCTCAAAAATACTGGGTGCAAAAAAGAAACAGTCTGTTTCTATACACAGCTCGTACACTATCTAGCCATTCTAATGATGCATCGTAACATGCCTTTGTCTGGAAATGCCCATAGTATAAAATCACAATTTTTCCTGTCCATTGCAGAACAAGTGCAGATAAATAACACAATTATTGTTTTTTTCTTTTTTCTTTTTTTTCTTCTTTTTTCTTTTTGGCAATCAATTCTTTTTAAATAATGGCAAAAGCTACACTTCAGTGTGTTAAATACATGGATGTTGCGATATCAGTATTCTAAGATATGTACAGTAATGATTTGGGGGTTAGTGAAACAAAGGAATTTGGACTGGGGACTGTGGTGTGTCAATGTTGATTTTTTGCGTCTCTTTTAGCTCCCAGCAAATGTGGGGGTGGCTTATCAGAAGATGAATGTTCGTTTTTTCTTCTCTTCTTGCCTTGTATACTTAATAGCTATATCTATAAAACTATGCAGAAAGAAAGAAATGAAATGAAAGAAAGCAAGTGGGGGAGAGGCATAGAGGAGTCTGTGCTGAGGTAAATTTTTATACTCTTTTGTTTGTCCTCCTTTTTTCTCTTTCTGGCTGTTCAAAACATGAGGGATGTCTCAGCGTTGACCCTGGAGAAAATTGTTCATATTTTACAATGCTTCTGAGTCACATGCTGAGTAGTCCTCTCGCTTTATCCCTCCACCTCTTTTGACAGCAAGCAATTACATTTTGTTTCTTAAGTTTCTCTTTTTCTGTTGGAAGACTTTTGTTGTTCAGCGGGGCTCAGGGATATCAATGTGTGTGTGTGTGTGTGTGTGTGTTTGCGGTGTAAATGTGTTTGTGTACCAAGTATGAGCCCTTGTTCTGTTCCCCAGCAATCATCATTAAAGTCTGAAAAAGCAGTTTTTTCTCCATAAAGTTAAGAATCCTAAATCTGATTTTCTACAGTCCTCACTGGTTCATTTGCTTTTTTATTTTCACCCTACCCCTCTCTCACCCTGTCCGATCTATGCATAAAATTAGCAGTGTCAAGTATGCAGCACAGGGCGTGGCCGTCGCCTCATCAGCCACACCCAACCTCGTCTAAGCCCCTCCCCTATTCGCTGTCAGACATAGGCCGATTCACTAGACTGGGTGCGGCCCAGGTTGGGCACAGATGAGAGGTGGGACACATCCTTTTTCCGGATCTCACAAATGGACTTTCTGCGAGCCTGGACGCCACGGATCGCCGCCTTAATCTTCCGCCAGCCCAGATGGTTGAGCTCGGCCAAGTTTAGAACCACGCAGATCCCGCTAACCGCGAACATAAACACCAGGAAAACTGTCTTCTCCGTGGGACGTGACACGTAGCATTCAACCTCCTTCACGCAGGGGTAGCGATCGCACTCAAACATGGCGGGAACATTGAATCCGTACAGGAAGTACTGGCCGGCAAGAAAGCCAATTTCCAGAACGTTCCGGAACACCACCTGTATGACGTAGAAACGAGAGATGCCCTCTTGTTGACGAATCTTGGCACTTTTGGAGTACGTGACCCCCTGCGGAATGTTGGGGATGTCTTTCAAATCCAGACAGTCACGGTCGTCTTTACTTTCCGGGTGCACCAGGATACCATTGATGTTGCGGAGCTTGCGGTTTTGTCCATGTCCGTGGTCGATGTAAGGGCCGTGCAGGAGACTGTAACTGCGATCTTTGTGTTTGGCAGACTGGTGCACTGAGTAAGTGATAAAACAGAGGCTGGGCGTGCACACCAAGATGATCTGGAAAACCCAGTAACGGATATGGGAGATGGGGAAGGCTTTATCGTAGCAGGCCTGGTTGCAACCTGGCTGCAGCGTGTTACAAATAAACATAATCTGTTCGTCCTCATACACCTTCTCTCCCACTATACCCACGATCAGGATCCGGAATATCACCACTACGGTCAGCAGGATCCTTTGGGGGAGAGAAAGGAAGAGACACAAAGAGGCAAGGAAGAGGAAGGCAGTGATAGAGACAGGATTGAAGAGAGGAAGGAAGAAAAAGCGAGAAGAAAAAAGGATTAGAGTTCATTTCATTTTGAGGAGGATTGACAAACAACACATTGTTAAATTGCTTTTCCCCCTCTATCTCACAAATGCAGACACATGTGCACAAAATACAAAATGACAAAATAGTGAGTAATTGCTGTAAGAAGCAGAGGTAAACAGGCATTTAGCCGCCTTTCTAAATGACCTGATACTGATTTAAAGCTGAAATGTTTCATTTTTTTTAAGTTAAAAACATTTGTCTATTTCAGCTTAATATGAAAAGAAAACTTTAAACCATTCCTATATTCCCTAAAAACAAAAACTTTTTGTTTACACAAGAAATACCAGCCCGACATTGTTATAGTTTAACGAGTGGCGTGAGATTGGGGGTGGGACTACCTGTTTGTACAACCAATTGAGTGCCGAAGTTATGACGTCAAAACGCGGAAGTGAGTTAGCATTTGAGCACTTCCGGTTCCCTTGCCCTAAAGTCTATGGGTTTTTTTAATGGGTTTTTGCTAAATCGCCTGAAATAAGGTCTGTGGTTAACAAAGCCTCTAAATATTTTTGATATATTTGAATATTTTTACGTTTTGATCTATGACATAAAACACACCAGTTAAAACCTGCTTGTGGTTTTTTAAACTTTATTGTGTCTTAAAAATATCTGACGGCTTTATTTAGGCTTCAAAATGTATAAATTGTGGATGAACTTGTAAAGATTATCTTGATAGGCAAAACGTGTAAGGGTCACAACTCTTTGTTGAACACAGATCTTATTTTTTGCGATTTTCCAAAAGTCTATGGGGAAAATGCATAGCTTTTCGATCGAGGGAACCCATGCGCCGCTAGCTTCCGAGTTCTCCTACAAAGTGACGTCATAACTTCGGCACTTTATTGAGGATGAGTAACCTGTTTGAAAAAAAGCAAGGTGTGAAATTCATACAGTGTGTTTGAATTCAAGCAGTGCATGTTGATTTAAAATTTTGTCCGACTTGAGACAGCGCTGACGCCATGGTCAGACTCACCGGTCGCAACAATGGCATTTGATGAACAATGAATTGTTTATTCTGACAGCTTCAGTTCCGCATTTTCTTAACAGTAAAAACTCTTGTGTGATCTGTTCATGTGATTTTAATGTTATATTGTGTAGGTAATGTCAAAATTAAAATATAGACCCCACTTAATCTATGTTTAAATAGTATTGGCTTATGTTTAATTTTTTTCTTGTACATATAGGCTGTATTAAGCCCTACAGAAAGTATTGAATGAAAAGTGTTAATGTCTGTTATTTGACAAATACTCCATCTTATCCACTTCGTCTGCAATAAAGAAAGCAAACACATGCGAGCGTCGCTACAGGAAGCAGAAATGACAAATGTCATCTTAAGAATGTACTGAAATACTGAAAATATCTGTGTAGGCCATTCAAGAACACCTTTCATGTTTCAACATTCATTCACGTGTGGGTGTGTGTGCAGGCATATGTTCCCTGATGATGATGATAACTGGGGCATACTGCATCAAGGCCAGCAGAGTTTGTGTTGGGACGACTGTGCATGTTTGCATTTATATCCCCACCTCTGCTCTCTTATCAGATTTTTGCAAGTTTAAATCTGTAATCAGTGGAAAAATAAATGGAGATTCATACAAACACACACACAAATCTAGACAAAAGCACAAACTCATTCGATCATAGTGACAGATAAGAACAGAGTAGATGTGCTTGATCTAAGTTCAGACACCAGTCCCACAATCACACATGACATATACTGTAACACTGTAACACACAATGTGAGTGTCCTGATGAGAAACACCTTGAAGCTTTACGCATAGCCGGGTCTCCTGTGAGTGTGCCATTTAGAGCGAAACATCTCCACCCTTCTGTCTCACGCACACTCTCTCTCTCTCAACAGATGCAGCTTGAGCACACAAATGTTCCTCAGTCTGTCTAGCTCTCATCCTTGCACACACCTACACACACACACACACACACACACACACACACACACACACACTTGTGCTGAGACCGTCCTTCACTCACAATAACCTTGCTCTAGAACCAGCCATGACGTTATTCCATTGCAGGCTGGTCTCAATTCATTAGCACATACATTTTCTTACACACACACACACATACATCGTGAGAGCTAGTATTTTGCATTCAGTATTTTAAATCATGAAGTACTTCTTTTAGGCCCTATCGACTGTGTTAAGCTATTACCCTGCAACAATGGCATTCATATAGCCCTCAGTCCTTCAGCTCATTTTTAGCATATTGTATGGTGTAGTTTAGTGGTTGAAGATCTGGGCTAGTATGAAAAAGGTTGCATGGGGCGAATTATGCTTGAATTATAACCAGTATGTGTCCTTGAGCAGGTTTCAGACTGTCCTTGTTACTTAAAATTGTGCCATTCTACAGTAAATTTGTAGAAACAATGTGGACTAGCCTTGTTTTTGTGGAGATAAATAAATCAGTATGAATATTTTACATTGTTGTGATTCAGTTGGTAGGCTATATTAAGATGTGCAAGATACAGTGTACACTAATGTTTAAAAGTTTGGGGTCGGTAAGATTTTCGAATGTTTTTGAAAGAAGTCTAAAAATGACAGTTTTCAATATATTTTAAATGTGATGTCAAAGCTGTATTTTCAGCATCATTACTCCAGTCTTCAGTGTCACATGATCCTTCAGAAATTATTCTAATGATGGTTTGGTGCTCAAGAAACATTTCTTGTTATCATCAATTTTAAAAAACAGTTGTTCAGCTTAATATTTTTGTGTAAATGCAATAGAGTTTTTTTCGTGATTCTTTGATGAATAGAAAGTTCCAAAGAACAGCGTTTATTTGAAATACATTTTTTTGTAACATTATAACTGTTTTTGCTGTCATTTTTTGATCAACTTAATGCATCCCTGCTGAAAAAAAATGATTAACTCCACGTGACCCCCAAACTCTTGAATGGATCTGTATTTTACAAGACTTCCAATAGCACACTGAAGAAAGAGAGTGATTAAGGCAAACAGGTTTTGCTTTCTAGCCTCAAGCGCAGGTTCCCCCTCCTGGACTTAGATAATTATAATGTGGAGTTGGAGGGGTGAAGGATTTCCTGATTAATGTTCAGTGTTACTTTATACATTATTAGCATTGTGATGGCTCAATGCTAAATGTTAATATATAGAGCACAACACTGGTTTTGATATTTGTGTATATTTCAATATTCTGAAATTTAATTTGATGAAAAGTCAGTAATTTAATGCCATATACTTTTTTCCCCTTCAAATCAAGGTTTATAATGTTTGATCCTGGAGGTGGTCTAAGAGTTCTTCTTTTTTTGAATTCGCTCTAGAGAAAATGAATGTGAAATAATAATGAGAAATCATTTGTGCTCTAAATCAGAAAGGCTAATGTTAGCTCAGTGCTGTGTAGTTAGCAGTGGTTTTAATGGACATATGGTGAACATTTGCGCTGCGGTAAGTAGGACAGTTATGACTCTTGATCAAACTCAATGACAATTTACTGTAGTATTACAGCAAGACTTGTTTTTCCCTGTTTAAACGGCAGATGGTGTTACCTTTATATAACACTTATAATAATTAAAGTAGATTATAAAAAATCTAATGTAAATGTATCAATGGCTAACAGCCCTGGTGGGTCTTTAAATTAGCAGCACATCCCCCACTCCCTGCTGCCGTTACTATAGCAACCACATAGTGAACCACTCAGCACTCTGCACTGTACCAGAGAAAGAGAGAGAGGGAGGGAGGAATGATTGATGGAATATCGGGAAAGAGAGCGAAAGAGAGCAAGTAGGCATACCAAGGGCACAGGGCAGGCACAAACCTGCATACCAAGAAAGAGGAAAAATGAGTGTGGAATTGGAGGATGATGAAAAACACATAGGGACTGAGAAAGTGAGACATCTCAAGGTGAACTAAAGAGAGAGAAAGACAGAGCTTGGATAGGATGAGAAAAGGAAGGAGGGAAGAGGACACAGACAGATGGGCTGAGGCAGACTTGAGGAGCAACAAGACAAATAGACAGATACGGAGAGACAGATGGAGAGAGGCGACTGAGAGCATGTACCGAGAAACACAGCATATTTATTAAATAAAACACTAAGGACTCATTTACAGCACCTGGTATGTGTGTGTGTGTGTACAGTACGTTCAGACATAAAACTGTCAAGCTTGTGCTTTTGTTGTTTCTGAAGTCACACAAACCTCATTTTAATTACAAAAAGTGTTTTTTTTTATCTTGTTTTCCAGTACAATATCTAAACATTCTTAACATTTACTTGAGATGCAACATGACTTAAAATATTAACTCTTTCCCGACCAGTGTTTGTGAAAAAAGTTGCCAGACACCGTCAAAGTTGCCAACCACCAATTTAATAAAGGTTTCATAGCCCCTAGAATATTTTGTTTTGTATCTTAATATGCAATATATCATAAGAAAGAACAGAAAAAAACGTTTTATCCTAGCTTAATGCATTCTTTTTTTATCAGCACTTTAATGTGGGTAAATTTAATTTAAAAAAGGCAACATTTTGAGCAAAAAATAGAAAATCGCATTTTTGTCAGACTACATCCAGATCGGATTTAGAACGATGAAAAATACTGAATAAGAAAATCACTTTTTGCAGTGCATGCAAACACACAAGAGGACACACCTGCACATATAATAAGAATATTCTCTTTCCCAAATAAGCCTAGACACACACAAACAGAGTTTTATTTGGGTGAAATAACACTCCAAATGTTTTGTATTTATTTTTATGTATCAGAAAGAACAAGGAAAGTTTACTAAAACTAACAAGCATCTCACAGGTTATCAATTATTCATGAACTTCGTGAGCTTTTCAGTGATTTTCAGCTCACATTCTCTTGCATCTTGCATCTTCTCTCTTTCCCTACACATCAAA